GAGAGAGAGAGAGAGAGAGAGAGAGAGAGAGAGAGAGAGAGAGAGAGAGAGAAAGAGAAAGAGACAGGTACTGGGTCCCCTTCCAGGTATTCCCATGATTCAGCTTCTCCACCAGGCCCCACCTCCTAGCAGCACATTCAGCACTGTACTCATCCCTAGGTGGATCCCCGATTATGTCCCAGGATCTACTCACCTTCCACTTCTGAACACACAAGCATTTGGGGGACATTTCCGATCTAAACTAGCAACCTCTGGCCATGGTTCCAATTTGTTTCCTCCTAGCCCAGGGTAAATATGAGCATCTTGCAGACCTGAGTAGAGGAGACTCCTTTCTTCCTTGGGTGGGAGGCCTTGTCTCCCTCGTATGAAGTCTCCTCCCTATTTCCTCCCAGCGGAGGGCTAGGATTTAGGTCTCTGTGTGTCTTTCACAGGGAAGCAGATCAGCTCAGGAACACAGAGCCCTGGAAGCTGCTTCAGTGTGCTCGTAACCGAGCTGGGCATGGGGTCTCGCCCGGCCAGGTTTAAGGTTGTGGATTTACATTTTAGAAAAGAAGTTGCTGGGTATGGTGGCACATGCCTGTCATCCCAGTGCTCTGGAAGGTCACAAGTTTGAGCCTAGCCTGGACGACTTAGTGAGACCCTGACTCAGAGAGTTGGGATGTAGCTGAGTGTGAAGGTCCTGGGCTCAACAGCCAGTACTGAACATATCACAAATGCAAGGAGAAAGGGCGAAAATATATAACATATCATCGAAATGCTTGTTGCCTAAACACAGTATTGCACTCAAGTTTGGTGGTGGAATTCTACAGTAATGTGCTCATAAGCATATGTGACTTTGCTGGTGTGGGTTTACACTGACCTTCCTGGTGTTTGCTTGGTTTTCTTCTCACAGCCCTCTGCACCGGAGGCTGATCCCAAGCACACAGCTCGCCTCACAGCCCTGATTCAGGTCTGCATCCCACGAGCCGTCCTCAGAGGCAGCAGTGGGCACGAGCTGACCTACACCATCCCCCAGAACACAGACAAGGCCTGCTTCAAGGGGCTCTTCCAGGCCCTGGACCAGAACCTGCAGCCTCTGCACCTTGCGGGCTATGGAGTCTCAGCTCCCACCTTGGAAGAGGTACCGAGGGACCTGGAGCATGCTCTGTGGGCGATGTTTTCAGGGCCACACTGCCTTGGGGAAGAGATATGGGTAGAGGGTTGGGGTTTCTGTGGTTTCAGAATCCCTCTTAGTACCAGAAACAATGGAAGCCAAATGCCAAATTTAATAGCCTGACAGGTGACTACAGTTTATGGGAAATAGCATTTATTTTTGAGATGCAGCCTCCCTGTGTAGTGCAGGCTGGCCTTGAACTCACTGAAGAGCCCAGGCTGGGCTCAAACTCATGGGAGTCCTCCTGCCTCAGCCTCCAGAGTGTAGGGACTACAGGTGTGCATCACTGTGCCCAGCTTAGGAAATAGCATTTTTACATCTGAGAGCTCTGGTGTTGAATCCAGCATCATCAGGCAGCCCAACTTCAGCACTGGGTTGCTGGCCAGTGGTATGTCCTCTGCCTGCTCCTTCACTGTGGTCTCCTATCATCTTGGTGCTGTGGCCCGTGCTGTGTAAAGGGCGGAGGTGAGAGGGCATCATGCAGAATCAGCTGATGAGGGCCAGCTCCCATGAGACCCCTGAGTCCCTTCCCCTGCCCTGGGCTGTGCCGAGCAGTCCACATACTTCTGTGGTCCCTGCCAACACCCAGCCACCAGGACCAAGACTCCAGGACCTCCTCCAGGGCCGGAGATGGCCCCGTGTGGGTCCTCAGGCCTCCTCTGTGGAGCTGAAGCTGAATTTTTGTTTACATTGCCATTGTCTACAGAAAGCGCTACAGTTTTTAAAATCATGCACTACAAATGCAAGTAAAAAATAATCTGGAAAGGGCCAGGGATTTAGCTTAGTGGTGCTGCTGCTTTAGTTCGATCCCCGGCTTAAAAAAAAATCTGGAAAGAATTTTGGAGCAGTTTCTCTCATTCACCAGTTTCACATATAACAGTAGCACCTAATTGTTTCTTCACACGTAACTGACACTAGAAACATGAATAACAGTTAAAAATACTGCAGTCCTCAGTTGAAGTCTGCTTGCTCAGCTGTATTTCAGTGGCTGTTGTGGAAAACACACCTCTGGGTTTGAGACTCAGGAGAACAGTCAGTTTTCTATGTGGCCAGTCATGGGGAAGTCACCCATAGTCAAAAATATGGCACACAGCCAGGTGTGGTGGTGTACACTTGTGATCACAACGCTGTGGGAGGCTGAGGCAGGGGGATACCAAATGTGAGCCCAGACTGGGCAATTTAGCATCTTGGTGAGGCACTGTTTCAAGATCACAAGGCACTGGATATGCAGCTCAGTGCAAAGGCCCTGGGGTCTGTCCCCAGTTCTTCAAAACAAACAGGCAAACAAAGAAACAAGTGCTATGGAACAGTAAACTATTTTGAGAAAGTGTAATCACTTTCACAGAACTTTTATTACAATGTACAGTTACAATATTTCTATTTTATTAGTAGTTACTGTTAATATTTTGCTGTCTTAAGTATGCACAGTTTGCATAGGAAAAATGTTTACTTTGGTTTTCATATCTGCAAGTCCTGCCTCTGGATTCAATGGACTGTAGTTTGAAAGTAGTCACAAAAGAAAGTTGCACCTGTATGACATGTACAGATTCGTCCTCCCTGCCCATTCCCCGAGCAGCACAGTCCAGCCGTCATTCACATGCAGTCTGCATGCTATCTGCTGTCAGCAGCAGTCTAGAGGGGTTAGAGTGTGCAGGATGATGTGCACAGGTGATATACAAACACGTCGCCATCTCACCTATGAGAATCGGACGCCTTTCAGTTTCGGTGTCCACCAGGAAGCCCATCCTCCCGGAACACTGTGGGACTCTGCTCACAGGGAGAGGGCTCAGGCGTCCTCCAAAGTCCCAAGTTGGTGGTACCAGCTCCAGCTTACACCTGAGAGATGGTGGCTCACAGAGAGATTCGTAGTATTACCAACCACTTAGAATGCGTTGCATTCCCCCAAGTTCTGTAACTTAATATTTCAACTGTTTTGTTTGCTTGCTGTCTATTTTGTTTGGTTGGTATTTTTCAATTTTCATTTCTATGAGTCAACTGCAAATTTGAGCCAAGACTGGGCAACTGAGTGACTTAGACTCTGTCTCACAATAAAAATAGGAAAATAGCTCAATACCACACACACACACACACACACACACACACAAGCAGCCAGCAATTCTTACCTGCAGTGGTGTGGCGTATGATGTTGTCATCATCTCTGCAGAGTGGCAGTGTAATTAAATGATGTACCTGCCACACAGGTCACCCTGTCCCCCAAAACTGCAGACAGAGAAGCATTTCTCTTTGGGCTCATAGCAGTGCCAGCTTTGAGAGCTGCATCACCATCCCGGGTTACTTGGAAAGGAAAAGTAGAATGATCTCTTTTGCACTGGAAGGTGTTATAGTTACATTTATTGTTGCTGGGACGAAATACCCAACACTCAAATTAAAGGAGAAGAAGTTTATTTGGCTCACAGTTTGTAGAGGTTTCAGTCCACAGTTGGCTGGCTCCAAGGCAGGGTGGTGTGGCAGAGGAGAAACAGTTCATGGCAGGCAGAAGGCAGCAGAGCAACAACAGGTGACCACAGCTCTTTCTGTCCCTTATATCTTATCCAGGCTACTCGGAGGGGGGCAGCACTCATACCTTAATCCTAGCACCCTCTATCCTACCACTGCCCCATGAGTCAATCCTAGCGTCACACACTCTAGATCTAGACGCCACTGAAACAGCCCCAGTGATGATCACATAAGGCTCTGGGGTGGGGGACATGGAGACACAGCCATAACAGGAGAGGAGCTGTCACATGAGTGTCCTTCTCTGTCTCCTCTGGGTGGATCAGGACCTGCCAGGTATGGGGTGCCTGTAGGTATAAATCATATGTGTCCCCAAGCTCCTGGGCTCTGTGGGGACACAGAGCTCGTGTAAACCCGGCTCAGCTCTCCTGGATAGAGCACACCTGTTAGTGGATCACAGACTCACCCCCGTAATAAATCATGTAGATGTATTTATCTCTTCACAGGGTGCTTTGTGTGTCAGGAAGAAGGAATGTTCCTTTCAGATGTGTGGCATCATATTGCTAGTGAACAAGTGACTTCTAGAATCTGCTTAGCATCTATCATTAGGAAAAGTGAAATTTTATGGAATGCTTGCCTTGAATATTTTATGAATTTAAGCTTCTCAGAAAAATAACGGCAAAGAGAGCCTTTATCTTCTGGGCAGTTGCTCAGCTCCTAAACACTCAGTTAATTCTTGGGGTTGACATGACTGATCTGCGTTATCTCCAGGAGAGGGCTGAGAAGTGCGAGGCTTTATGCCATTTAGCGAAAGGCTTAGAAACGGAAGTGAATGATTCTATTCCTCCTCATGCTTGTTTCCCTTCCCTGCATGTTTCAGGTTCTCAATTCAAGTTAGATGTTTTGTCGCATCTAAGATGAAAACAAAGAGCTCCCAGGAGTGAGAGAAAAGGCAGCCCTGCTGTTCCTGGGTTTTCTTGGCTTGTCGTACTTAGAGCAGCAGCAGGATTATTCTAAGCACCTGTCTTCTTCATAAGTGCTATTTTAGTAAAAACGGGGTGAATCAATGGAAAAACCCAGTTATGCAGGACACAGAAAGCTGCAACCCACAGAAATGGAAGCCAGTGAGGACCCAGTGGCAACCACGTCTTTCCGGTTCCACCTGGAAACAGGAAGTAAGGTTTCATGTTTTCTTCTCACATCCCCAGGTGCTGGTGACTGCCTCCAAGGGCCTAGCTTGGGTGGACCCTGAAGATTGGGTCCTCTGTGCTGTCTGTACAGGATGGGGAATGGAGGGGACTCAGAGCAGCAGGCCTGGAGTCCTGACTTCGTACCATCGACCCCTAGAACAGCCTCCCATGCACAGTGTGCTTGATTGTTAACCGGGAATCATGGAAAACCAGGGACGGGACAGGTTGAGGGGAAGACACTCATGGTGAGGTGTGTGGCATTCAGGCAGCTTCCAGTCCTTCAGTTGGACAGGCGTCCTGGTCCATGTACTGTTGTTGTAACAAAAGACCTGAGGTTGAGTACTCTGTAGGGGAGGAGGTTTATTCAGCTCATGGATTTGGAGGCTGTGAGGCACCTGCTAGGGCCTGTGGCCAGTGTTTCGTAGGCTGTTTGTACTCTGATAATTTGAGTCTCAGGTTCTTTATCATCTTCACTTCAAAAATTTTTTATTTTTTAAATTAAATTTTATCTTAATGTAGTACAAGTAGATACTAATAAGAAAATATAAAAACAGTTCTATGAAAAAATAACTTTTTGTAGCAAAAACAATTAGATTAGTAATGGGAAGTACACTGTATCATGATCTTAAAAGAATATATTATCAATTGCTGCTATTCTATCTCATTTCCTAATAATACCATAGTTTTTTGCATAAAACATTTTAATTATTACCAAACTATCTCACACTTGGTATAACTTCGAACAGTTTCTTCCTATTTCACAATATCTGTTGTATATTTTGGCCTGTATCTGCACTTTCAGTTTCTCACAACAGAGAGGCAACGTGATATTTACACATGTATGTCCAATTTATTTCACTAAAGAGTATGGTCTCAAGATGCATCCACTCACCTGGAAATGTCTCGACTCTATCTTTTGAATGGCTGAATAGTACTCCATTCTATAAAAAAAACCATACCTCTTTTTTAAAAATTCCATGTATTGCTTTTATTTAGGTCAAATAATACACAACAGTTTAGATTACAGATTTCTAGGTACTATACAAAGTGAGGACTTACCAATATATTTACTATTATTTATACCCAAAATAAAGGTGCAATGGTACCTTCTGAGCTTCAGCATAGCTGTGTTTTAATCCCCCTTTATCCATAGATATTTCACTACAGTGTAACTTCTAAGAATTCTTTTCATGTTATATTCCTTTGACATTATTTCATTACAGTCTTCTGTTCTCCAAAATATTTGTGTTTATTCATCCTTTTTCCAACCGTGTTACTTTTGAACATTTCTCAATCCTTTCTTTTCTAAGAAATTATCTATCC